AATTAAAATTTTATGTAAATATAATATACAAAATTTATATATAAATAGATGCCACTTAAAAAAAATTTAGGTAAAAAGGTCATGCCCTTTGTTTCCTACCCTGATCTGTTCAATTTCAACTTTTATCCTCCTATATACTTTTGTTTCCTTTTTAACCTTCCTTTTATCAAAGCCTTTTCCTGTAGTTTGGATGGTGGGGACTTTGTTTTCTGTTTCTAGATTAGTGGGATTTTCAGAACTCATCATAACAAGAAAACACGCATAAAAGCAACGATATTTTCATTAAATGTGTAATCTCAAAACACTTTAGGGTTAATTGCTTATTTTTGCAAATTACGAGGAGTCCAGCACATATACAAGATTTTATGGGTTTACATAATTTAAAACCACAAAAGAATTTATTATTCATGTTTAGATGAAGTGATTTATCATTTGGTTATTTTTTAAAACACCTCTCAAATTGAAAATTTAAATCTCTGATGATCCCGTTCCTCATTTCCCATTCGTCCTTAGTATGATAAGTTTGATTGTAATTTTTTTTTTGAAAAAAAAAACAACAAAGGAGTCAAAGTGCACATTTTAGTGATAGGGAGCTTAATGCACGAACTCCAAACCACAAGCGGGCATATGTAATTTCCCCATAAAGGTATCAACTTCTATATGGTCGGTACCCATGATACATAGGTAAAAGGGAAAATCATGATGCTCGTCCTAAAATTTTATTGAAATTTTAAATGTTAAATTGTTTAATAATAAGGTTAAATATATTATTTGGTCCCTCTACTATTGAAAAAAAACCCTTTTTTTGGTTCTTACACAAAAAAAAAACCCCTTTTATGGTCCTTACTATTTAAAATTCGGTTTTTTTTTGTCTTTCCGTTAAATTTTTGCTCACGTGACACGTTAATTAACAGAATCAATTGACGTGAAAATTACATGGATAAAATATAATTCTATATAAGCATTTTATATGAATATTTTAAACCACATATACAAATTAAAAATTTTACTTCTTAATTCATGAATTAAATGAATTAAAACATAATTAACTTTAATTTCTTCATCTTCTTCTTTCTCCCCGTCCTTATCCTCCTCCTTTAATTTCTTCATCTTCTTCTTTCTCCTCATCCTTATCCTCCTTCTCATCCTTGGCATCATCTTCACCGTTCTCTTTGCCATCTTCTTTAGCATCTTGGGTTCCTTGGGCAACCCGACTTTTGGGTTCTATGTGAAACCTAGTTGTTGGGTTTGTGGAACCTAGATTTGGGTTCCGCTAACCCAAGTTATGGGTTTTGACCTCTTTTTTTTTCTTTCATTTTTTTTATTTTGAATGTATTTATCTTTCATAAAAGGAGCCGAATGAAATCAAAGTTTCATGTTCAGTTTTGAATTAGAGACGTTAAGTTTTGGATTTGTATTTGATATTTGGGTTTGAAATTGCAGGTGATAATAAGTTTATGTTGTTGTGTTCATGTTGTTATTAACTTCACAACTTGGTTTATCTGTGACCTAGGTTCAACAGGAAGAAAGACTTGAAAATATGAAATTAGTAAACAAGTAAAATCATTCTCCTTTCCGAAAAAGAAGTTAGAGTTTACAATATTGAAAAATTGTTTTAATTAGTAATTAATTTTTATTTTTATCAATGAAAATATGCCTATGAATTCTCAATTATATTTTGGTCAATCTCACATGTAAAGGATTGATCATGAACAAAAAACAAGAATTTCGAAAGATGGAAGATGCTATTGAGGGAGAGAATTAGAGAAAAACGGAGAATTTAGAATATGGGTCGCATCATTTAAGTTTTCCTTTTTTTTTTTTAAGGCAAAGAGAGTGACAAAAAGGGGTTTTATTAAGTCCATGTAAGCACTTTTATATTATATAATAGCCATGTCAGATGTTCTTGTTAAAATAACATGTCATATGAGTAAAAATTTAACAGAGGGACAAAAAATAGGTTACATTTTAAACAGTAAGGACTATAAAGAAGATTTTTTTTTTGGTATAAGGATAAAAAAAGGGCTTTTTCAATAGTAAAGGGACAAAAAAAGTATTTAATTTAATAATAATCACATAATAAATTTAATAAATTTAAAATTTAAATTATATTACATATATTTAATGATTATAATTAAATATTTTGACATTTAAAATGTCAAAATGTCTTAATTTTTTCTTTTTCCTAATACGTATATCTAATTGCTAAATAAATAATTCAGTTCGTGAGTAAGGGTGGCATACTGGCATTCATGTTGCCATACATCCATGATTAGGCTCGTGCAATCTCCATCGCTTTTTTTCGCAGGCGGATCGCCTCATGCATTTCATAATTAATTATTTTTCAGATTTTTACTCCAATTATAGTAGTCATGGAGACGATGTTAATGCTTGTTCATTTTTGGATCGTTGGGTTAGTCTAGATTTTTTTTTTTTCCTTTTGAGTATATTTTGGAGAAAGGGAATATTTAGATGTATTAATATGTTTAATATTAAGATGTTTATTAATATTTATATAATGATTATAATAAAGTTGAAACCGATGTTATACCTTATATCTTTAATAATTTTAATTAAAATATTTTAATATTTTTAATATCAATATTTTAATTTTCTCTTTTCTCTTGTGTGTAATGTACGTGCATGCTCGTGTGTGTATATAGGTCTAGAGTCCTTGGGCTATGGTCCACTAGTATCTCATGGTGACTTTCTGGATCCTACTTTGGAGATTTATTACCCAGAAAAGCAGGGGAAACGACGGATAAAGCAAAAGAAGGGTGATGAGTGAGATTGGAACTATAGAGGAAAAAGATTGATTGAAATAGAAATCCATTGGGGGTTCTTCTTTTCATTTCTCCATGAATATATGACAGATTTGGACAGGAGAGAGATATTAGATAACGTTTCTGTTAATTTGTTTAGTTTTTATAAAATATACCGTGAATCTTAAGAATGTTGGTTGTGTTGTAAAGAAAAGGAGTTGGGGATGGTGACTCTGTTTTGTTTCAAAACACGAATGATGATGGCGATGACCCTCCTTCACCTCATCTTTCTCTTTCCAGCTATACTTTCATGTGGCTCACCAAACACAACCTTCCAAATCCATGTCACTTCTCAATCACAGAATGTATCATTAGGGTTCACATGTGAATTTGATAAGCAATACCATAAAAAAATAAAAATAAAAAAAATATATAAATATATGTACAAACACTTATAAATATAATAATTTTCTTTCACTTAAAATGTATATGTATTAAATTTTATGTGAGCTTTTTATCTGCCTAAATTTCCCAACAAGGACCCAAAAATCACCCCAATTGAATTAAAGCTTCATAATCCATCAGTTTATGGGAAAAGTTTACCTCTTGCATATCCTACCTAATATAATAGGTTGATATATGAAAGGTTTAGATTTTATTCAGTATGATTGCGAGATTTTTAATTTTTAATTTTAGTTTTTTATAAATTTCATAACAGTTAAAAATCAAAATTAAAAATTAAAAATTAATTTTAAAAAAATGAATTTTAACATTGTCAATAAATAATATAAACTTATTTAATAGTATTAAAATTATTTTTATTTTTCTTTCTCTAATAATCATAATAATACATTATTACAAAAATATATAAAATTTGTTTAGAATTACAAAATTTATAAAAACTCAATAAAAAATCAAAAATCACAACCATACCAAATAAAACCTTGATTAATAGCTTTGTGCTTTCAAGTTTTAGTTTAACTCAATAAAAAAAGAAAAAGAAAAGAAACAGAAAAAAAGAAAAAGAAAACCCACAACAAAGTAGCTCCCACATTTTGATTTAGAGAGCTATTGCTAGTTGTTAGTTAACAACTCACTCTCGATCTCTTACAAAATTACGATGTTAGAAAAAACACATTCAAGATCTAATATAATCTTTCCTTATCTTGTAATTTACCCCTTTTTACCACCTTAACATAGATGAGTGAATGAGTTTTTCCGAATTATTTCCTATAATTGTTTGTCCTTTTATCATTTTCAATCAAAATTGCTTGTCTAATAATGGGTGTTTCTCTTTTCGCTGACTAATGAATTTTTTCATTAATTTGTTTGGAGTTTGGACATAAATCATTCCCTCTTTTTCAAGCATTCTACAGGGATCTAGCCTTTTTCTCCTTTTTTCTTTAATTGGACTTCATGTTTACTGCCTTTTGTCTGGTCCAAGTAATGAGTATTTCAGTTGTTACTGTTCTGTCCTTGAAAACTTATGTCTAAATTAGGCTCCTTTTCCTGTTTGTTTCAGGTCACAGTCAGCCCAATTCAAAACTTATGGCCTGGACAAGTCAACAGATCATCATTCTTCCATTTTGTTTGCGTTTCCACAGTTTTTATTAGGAGTGATTGTAAGTTGATCATCATTTTTCCACTTTCTTTGCATTTCCATAGTCTTTATTAGGAGTGATTATAAGTTGAATACCTTGTAAGTTACTTGATTTGAGATTGGTATTGATTAGATGACGGTTAGGGTTCAATTCAAGCTCATTTTTCCATTTTGTTTACGTGTGTGCAGTCTTTGTTAGGAGTGATAGTAAGTTAAGTAACTCGTAAGTTATTTGATTCAAGATAAGTATTGACTAAATAAAATTCGAGTTTGACTCAAACTCAATAAGTATGATTTGAGCTCAAGTGCTCTAACTTAAGCTATTTACCGCCCTAGTCTGTATACGAAATACCTGTTGTAAATTAAAATCAGTATATCAAACACAGAAAGCATGCCAAATAATTTGGAAGGTTATATTTGATGAGGGATGCTTTATTCATACAATATAAATATATTAAGGAAGATTCAGCCCCTGTGCTAGTACCTGCATCAATCCCCCAATATTAAAGAGCGGGAAAGCATAAAAAAAGGTTGCAACAATAAGCATCATTTTTCCCATACAGCATATCTATGCCCACAAGTTGCTAAGGTCCACTCTCTGCCATCAGGACACCAGGAGCCGTCCCCAATCTTCATGCATACTTTCTCACCGATAATTGCAGAGTAAAGGTTGGGACGAGCCTCCAGAATTCTAATAGGTGATCGGCTGTGTATGTCTTTACGCCTTCGAACACCCATCTGCATATGTATTTTAGAAGCATGTCATCGAGAAATTTTACATGGAATAATGAAATAACAGATGGACTGAGCCACTGTGGCATACCAATTTAACAATTTGGTCATGAATGGAGTCACCCCAATCGTAAAAGTGGTCGTAGAAAACTGTGGGTATCCCTGGATGTGTAAGTATGTAGGCATAACCCTGCAAGAAGTCATATCAAATAATCCTTAGATAATTCTTGAAAGGTTTCTCCAGCCTAATAAGCCAATAATGAGGGGAATGAATGAACTTTGATGTTGACATCAGTATATAGTGACTACTGAAGCAAGAATCATAAACAAATGAATTCAGAAAAGCTATCACCATGTTGTGATTACGTCGGGAACTTAGAAAAGTTAGTAGCGGTATTGTTAAATTTATCTGGTGTGTAGGCTGAAATTGGATTTTGGTTTTCTAGAAGTGCAGTAGGGATTTTTGTTGACATGTATACTGCAATTATTCTTCACTAAGACTGTGGAAGACAAGTGCTAGCAAATATGCAAGTGGATTTGGTTGCATGTGTTAAACTACCCCTTGTACTCTCTGGAATAAAGTTTTTCTCTTTGCAGATTAGAAAAAGGAAAGCTATCAGCAGTTACTAAACCACCATAGGGCTTAAGTTTTTAAATTGGATGTTTACATATATCCATCATAGACCTGAACAGTTAAATATTTTTCCAAATAATGAAACAGCAACTAATATTCATGAAAGAGCTACCAATAATTACTTCACATACCTCCATAATATGATTTGAAGGGAAAGGCCAGTGAGCCTGCAAGAATATATGTTAAGATTGAGTGGATCACCGAATTCCAATATGAAGAATAGAATCTTTATCACTGATTTTGATACCACATGGACCACACTATTGTGCATGAATAAGTAAATCTCAGATTGGAATGAAAACAGATGAGAACAGGACTGGCACTGAAACTGTTCTGCTCAACTCGTACTGGGTAGGAAAAGTTTTTTCAACGTTACTTGTAAAACTATAATATTCTCAAAGAACATTAAAACATGAAATTGGTTTTGAATTAACTCAAAAAATAATTTTACATTGCTCATTAGAACTGCCAAGCCAAAGCAAACCAGAAAATTTTGTACATTGAAAAATAGTGAGGGCCTGCCATTTTGGGCCCCAAAGAAGAGAGAAATATAGAGTGAGGGTAATTCCATTCTTTAGGACATTAGGTGCATGCTTTATGAGAAAGGTTTATAGCCAACTATGTTACTGAGACAACCACCTAAAGTCCGCCTTTGAAATACCAAGGAAAGATGTGTTACCTGGGTTGAGCCTGTGTCATGGTTATCAATGAATGTGACAGTTCTTGAGGGCCACCATCCCATTACACCCGGTGGCTTCCCTTGTGGGTCACGCAGGCGCCAGAATTGCCCCTTTACAGCTTCCTGTGAGTGCAAAGTAATTGTAGTCAAAATCAAAGGCAAGTTGACGTTATATAAATCTTCTTAGAAATGCATTAACATTACAGTCTCCTGCAAGTCTCAACTTCATAGAAGAGAATTACCATAATGATGCTTTAAAAGATGGGGGAAACAGACTAGAGAAGTGGTTATGTAATAAAAATGAAAAGTTCCTCTAAAGAAATCAATATATCATCCCAAGAAGAGCCCAAAGCCACATCACATGAAACTTCCAATCCCTTAAAGAAAATATCTTCTTTCTGAAACTGAAAGTACCTGAAGAATGCCCTTGGTTGTGAAATCAAATGCAGCAGAAAGCTGGCCAGTTCCATCAATCCAATTGACAATTCGTTGTCTATGGCTATCTGCATGTAGAGCTTGTAAACAGTGAGAACATAATGACCCTTACTAAAAATTTTAAAAACAGTCATACAGCTTTATGGTTGACAAAGGGCAAAGAAACAAACACATCACGATTTTTATGAGGGAATGAGTGACCTTGGTTGTAGTCCAATCCATGATCATGGTAGTTGCAAGAATCCCAATACTCCCCAACAGAAAATAGTGGCTTTGCTCCTTCAATGTATTCTTTCACATATTTTGCTGAGTAACTACATTGGAGTTTGATGGAAGATTAAATACCACACTGCAAAGAACAGCAGTTAAATCCAGGATAGAAATTTACAGAAAATATTACCCCCTTGCAAAATCAAAGCGGAAATCCTGAAAGCCAACACTACGTAACCATTGCAGCCACTTTATGATGTCTTTTCGAACAAAATCTTGGGTGTGATCAATATTTGGAACCCCATGGAAATTGTCTCCAGTACTTCTATTACCCTGCAATATTCATTAAATGATTAGGAACAACTTGTACTAGAAGATACATACACCACTATTTGCAAGATATAGTAATCTCCATGGCCAAGTCTTGTAATTGTAAATAGTCGCATAACAAACAAGAAGAAATTTAGTACCATAGTCGTCCTTACCAATCCACCAGTACAAGATGTAACAGCACGTTCATCCCATGACAGTGGGATTCCATCATACCGGTTATACCTTCCCCCATGGCCTTGGGTAGTCCCAATACGATGATTAATAACTATGTCAGCCATCGCTCTAACTTTTTGCTGTTTCATTTTCTGAAGTAAAGCTTTTAACAGCTGCTCAGAACCATATGCTGAATTGAGTGAATAAAGGTTCTGGGGAAGGTAACCTGTATGTAACAAAGATGGAAAACATGAATAATGAAAAAAAAAAGGAAAAAAAAACCCTAAATAGAAGCAGAGTTGATAAGAGTTGCTTAATCTTTAGAGAGCCATTTAATATCTCTAACCTTCAGGAGAGAAAGAATGAGTTGATGGTGGCAACCATGCAGATGTAAAACCTGACTTTGCAATGTCAGGAACTTTACTCTCCAAGTTTCTCCACCAGTCATGTTTGTGAGATTCCCAATTAAAAGCCTGTTGATCAGATTCAAACACTTCAGAGCTCTTAGTCCTTCAGCAGTCAAATATAAGTTTATGAAGAAATCATATTTGACCATCTCCGCTTAACAGGCTTTTATTTAAAATACAAAAGTGATACATTTCACATCATAAGTAGGATTGATTCATGATAAACTAGATTATTAATTCAATTTAAGATTACATCCCCAGTGCTGAACACTCAGGAAAAACTGAGAAAATCATCTTCTAACGTACCTGTAGAAGGATTTCTCTTCCATCACGTATCACAGCACCTGAAATTAAATCCATAAGCAGAATTTGAAATCATGGAAAAGAAATATCCATGTGCTCCTTCTCAACTCAAATCATAAAGTAGGAAAGATGATGGACATTCATCTCAATTTTATGTAGTTTTCAATGCTATAGTGAACAACATTCTTGATATCATCCAGTCCAGTCCTCAAGTTCAGAAGTTAATACATCAAAACTTTAACTGGTGAACAATGTAAACATCCTACTGGATTATAGATACCCACACTCCTTACAGTCAATTTTGATCTTTATTTTCCTTAAAAATCAACATGAAATCAACATTCAGAGTATGTAGAAAACCAAGTTCTCACAAAATTAAAGTTTAAAATTTAAAAAAAAATCAGATGTAACAATAAATTACAAAGCATCCGTAAGCAGGGGTTTCAAATTATGATATCAAAGAATAGGCTTGTATCTTTAATAAAAGGGGGAAAATAATAAGGCAGCAAAAGGAAAAGAATGAGCATACCGATGTCAGTCTGTTGATTATTATCATTAAAACTCTGCAGTTCAACAAAAGACATGATCAGAGAAATGCAATCAAATAGCATCCAGATAAAGGCATAAAGCATTTTGTACCTTACAGCTTCAAAATAAAAAGATAAAAAAAAAAATATGGTGAAAACAAAAGTTCAAGAAAAAAATGAGAAGAGGGAAAGGAAAGTACATTGTTTTGGTAGCCCATATTAACTCAAAAGGAGAGAAAATGCAGCATAAACACCCTGCATCCAAAACCAACTCCAAGTTAATTACCTCAAATGCACAAAAACGAAATGAAAAGAAAAAGAAAAAAAATCAAATATTAAACCCATTGTTATCAATTCTATACAAATACAATAACAGAGACTCAGCAACTCAAAAAGAGGACATACACCAATAACAGAAATGGAAGGTTGCTATTGCAGCTTGGGTTTGTTCTTCCAATTGTGACCTATAAATAGGAGGGAAAAAAATGGACAAGGACGGGCGAATCAACTTTTCCAATTCCGACGTCTCGTCCACAAGATGAAATTAAAAAAAAAAAAAAAAAACAGAAAAGAGGGAATATCGAAATTCGTCCGATGAGTTCAGAATTCCACAAAAGAAGGAATCAGCATTTTTGGGAAGAATGGGCCAGAGAACAGATTCATTTTCCCCAACTTTTTAGTTTTTAGTTTTTACAGCTTTTAAATAGACAGCGGGAGGGGACGACGTTGAGTCTGAGTCGTTGGTTTGGGTGGCGAGTTTGAAAATAATTCAGGTGGTGGGATGGGGAAGACAGATGGAGGGATGAGACTCTAAAAGCTTAGTGAGGAAGATATTGCGCGGGGACAGGATTGGTGAGGCATCGCAACGGCGGGAAAGCTTAAGGAGTAAGCAAATGAGTTATATCAACAAAG